GTCCCTGCTCTTAGCCCGGCCCTGTGCGCGGGATCGCGGCGGGCGGTGTTGGCAGCAGCGTCGGCTCCCGGGGTTTTCTCTCACCGGCCCGGTCTCGTCCCGCCTCGCCCGGGAGTGTCGGGCGGAGCTCCGGAATGTGGAAGCTGGTGCCCGCCTCGGGAAAAGGTGAGAGAGCGCCAGACGCCGCCGCCTCTCCGGTAGGCTGGGCCCGGGTACCGCGGGCTCCCGCCCCGACCGACGCCTGCGCGGGTTCCCGGGGCGGCGTGAGGCTGGAGCCCGCCGGCCCGAGCGGTGCCTTCGGTGCCGGCCTGTTGGCTTCCACAGGGCTCGCTCCAGCCGAGTTTGCGTGTCCGTGCTTCTCGGGCCGAGCTGCCTCGGGCCAGTGGTGATCTTAGTCCTYGTTGCTCTGGGCCCTCGTCCACGGCGAAACCTCCGTTTTTTCCTGAATCACTGCAGACCCCAGCGACTGTTAAATCTAATAGAGCTTATTTTCGAACCTCTGTCGAATGTCTTAGGGTGGTGCAGGTTACAGAGTCCTGCTTTGAAATTCCTGGAGTGAGCTCTGAGGCAGCCGTCAACCTCAGGTGTCTCGTAGAAACGATGTTTAACTATTGTATTGATGTTTCAAGGACCAAAGTGTTGAATTTCATGGTGTTTCTTGAATGCTGAGTTTTGAAACTAAATCGTCCTTGTACTTTGCTTCACGTTTCCTTGTCCACAGGAGCTTTAKTAATAGGTATCGCAAAATACGTACATTTCTTCCTAAATGTTTATAAGGAACAGACCTAACACAACAGCGTGTCTCTATTTAACTGGGAGGAAACTTTGAATGTTTGATTTATTTCCTAGTGGCAACAGCCCCTAATCTKTTGAAATAGTTAAACTGACTTAGCTCTTACTGCCCAGAGAGCTGTTGAGTGAATCAAAACACTCGTCATTCTGTTCAGAATAACTGTTTCTGTACAGTTTGTATTTGGAAAGTTGTTTGCCCAGGGTTGATAACTAAAATTTAATCTTTATTTGCTCCTTTGCATCAAGAAACAYTTCTGGTTCTGTTGACCAGTGGTAGCACACCTTTGAGGTGGAGTCAGCTACCATGCTACTCCCCCACTCCCTTACCCTCTCCCTTTATGAGCAGATATGACTGTGCATTTTTCTTTGTTTTATTACCTAGGCTGTGCAAATGGGTGGGTAACAGTCAGTCATTACCTTTCCCATCAGCCAGTCTCTGTGCTCAACACAGATAAATCAAGTATCTTTTATCTCAGCATAATCCCCTGCAGCTGAAGATGGTCTGATGCTCTCAGGCTGCTCAGGCCATTTCTGAACTCCATCGACAGTGCTGAATTTGAAATGAGGACTCCTGATCTTTCTGGTACACCTCATTTCATTGCAGTCAGCCAGTGTTGGTGTGTGTGGTGGAGCCACTATGGAGCCTCTGTCTGCTGCCCAGAAGTGATCTGTGAATGCCCAATATCACCTCATTTCAGGCTCTGTGTTATCCACTTCATTTGAACTCCTAATTGTCAGACAGCTAATTTTCTCAGCTACCCCTTTTCTCATATTTCTTGAACAAACTACTCCTCTTCCCCCAAAACACATGCCCAGAACTGGCTGCCTTGCTCYKGGTGAGGGCACAGCAATTCCTGGRTTTAGATACCACAAGGAGTCAAGCCATTCACTGGGAAGCCACTGTGGGGTCTAAGTGACAAATACAAAGCATAAACTGAAGCATAAGCATTGGTCAGAGGCTGAWCTTGCTAAGTTTGATTTACACTGCAGATCTCCTTATGTGCATTAGGTGGACATTCTTCTCTGAATCTTGTAATCAGTTATGTGAATTAGGTGTATAACCTCAAAAAATAACGTACTTTTTTTAAAGTGTTTTAGAAAACCCACCTTATATTGTGATTTTTTTTTCTTCTAGATGTTACACTTAATCTTCAAGAAAATAYTGGTAAAAGTATATTTTCCTTCAGAAAAGTGTGCTACCACTTTTGAAACTGCTTTATCATAAAATGTGTAGTTTTATAATGGACAGAGCAAGGGAACAAGAAAGAGGTTTTGTCTATAAAGTAAATGCATAATTCTAAGCAGCSTGATMAGAATCACARAAYTCAGTCACAGAATATTCTGAGTTGRAAGGGAYCCACAAGRRTCATTGAGTCCAGCTCTGTAGTGAATGGCTCATACRGGGATCAARCCTACAACCTTGGCATTAYTAACATCATGCTCTGACAATAAATGATGCATGGCAAAGCTGAGACTCAGATGTGCTACAAACTTCTCAATGTCTCTCCTGAGTGCTTCAGATATTTTGGTGGTTTTTGTAAATTTATGTTTTTCTGTCTCTTGTTTATTTTCAGGAGAACCATATAGGCTTTTAAGTGGTATAGARTATGTTGTTGGACGCAAAAACTGCACAATTTTAATTCAGGATGATCAGTCCATCAGTCGAAATCACGCAGTTCTGACTGTAGATCAGCCTGAAAYAAGCTCTGTAAGTAGCTGGCATTTTACTGCATTATCAATACACTCTGGGGGTAATTCAGTCTGCCATGACCATGCATACTCTTGTTTTGCTCTCACCAGTTTTATGCTTAGAGTAGAACCCTTGATCACCAGTCTTTTTTTTTCTTGATTTTTTTTATTAGGTTTGTTTGCCATTGTTGAGGAATTTGGTGGCATACTTTTAGTGGTCCAAGCCTCCTTTTATCCCAGAACAAAGAGTCACTAGGAGTTTGTATTAAAATAATCATAGCAAGAAATTTAAAGATTTAAGTTTCATTATGTGTACAAACTTTAGGTCTGGGAAGTCCTTCAGTTGTTTTACTGCAGTTGTTTTACTTAGTTTCTGTATCATTTCACATCATTAATCCTGTATTTGCTTTGGGCACAGAAAAGAAAAATGTACCAAGGAGAATTAGCAATCAGCAATTTACTGTCACTAAGTGTTGTAACATTCATAAATGTTTTGAAGCCAGTTGGCAGAAATTTCATTTATGTAACCTTATGTAATSTTGAAAATAAAATATATAAAATGTATTTCTCCTTTTAATGCTGCAAATACTGAGTGAGTCCAGCAGAGAGCGATGAATATGGTGAGGGGRCTGGAGCACCTTAGTTGTGAGGAAAGACTGAGGGATCTGTGCCTGTTCAGCCTCAAGAAGAGACAACTGAAAGGGGACCTCATCAGTGTCTATCAGTATCTGAAGGGAGGGTGTCAGCAGGATGTTTCCAAGCTCTTCTCGKTGGTGCCAAATAAGGGGACAAGAGACAGTGACAGAAACTGGAGCACTGGAAGTTCCCCATGAATATGAGGAAGAACTTTACTGTGAGGGTGACTCAGCACGGGAAGAGATAGCCCAGAGAGGTTGTGGAGTCTGTATCGCTTTCTCTTATTTCTTCACAATGAAAAGCAGAAGATGAATAATTATACATATCAAGCCTCATTGTCCAAAGTCTTTATTTAAGATGGTATTTTGTGGGCTGCTTCTTATTTATCCATTGCTTTGATTCACAATGACAGCCACGTTTCTGATAAAGCTATCTCATTCTGATAAACTATAATGTTTAATAAACCTACTTATGTTTATTTTCAGAGCCAGTCTCTCTCAGTCCCTGTATTAACAGTAAGAGATACATCCAAGTATGGTACCTTTGTTAATGGAGCAAAACTCAATGGTKCTTCAAAATCTTTGCAGTCTGGTGACAGAATCAACTTTGGAGTCTTTGAGAGCAAGTTTAGGTAAGTGTTCTGATTATAAAAAAAACAGGTAAAAAAAATCAGTGTTTGAGAAGAGTATTTTAGCATGTCATATAACTTTGGAAGTGATACTGCAATGATGAATCTCTACAAAAAAACATGATACAGGAATCATACCATGAGACTAGATACGTCATGACTGTTGTACTAGGAAATCTACAAAGTAGAAAGAAATTTAAATAATTTAAAAATGAAATAATGGAATTTTATATGTTTTGGATTTGATATGGGAGATCTAAAATTAGGTATAAAGGCTTATGGTCAAGGATAATGGCAGTGATAGGAGAATGTTACTTCAAATTGCATTCCATGACACTTGTATATTKTAAGTACTAATCTGTTGGTGAACTGTCCTGTTGAGCATCCTTTTGCTTTTGGAGACACACACTTAAATTTCTTTTGATATTCCCAGACCTGGCACTGTTCTTGAAGCACTAATTGTAAGTGATGTCTGTGAAAGACCCACAAGTCCATAGAAAGGTTTCAGACATCAGATCAAATTGTCATTAGTTTTTCTGAATGAAAAATAGTATTTACTTTCTTTGGGAARTTTTAAAGCAGGAAGATTTTACTTTATCTAGGTAACAGTATGTGTCTTTTTTTTTTTCCTTCAGATTTCCCTGCGATACAAATGTCATAGTTAAGTCAGCCCTGTTCATTGTAATGATTGGTTGAATTAAGTTAAGTAATTCTCTTTCACTTGTTTTTTGCAGAGTGGAGTATGAACCTTTGGTTGTCTGCTCCTCRTGTTTGGATGTAGCTCAGAAAACCGCTTTAAATCAAGCCATCCAGAAGCTTGGGGGTCTTGCAGTGAATGAATGGACAAAAGACTGTACCCACCTTGTAATGGTATCAGTAAAAGTTACTGTTAAGGTATGTTGAGCTTTTGCCTGTTGATAGCATTGCTTTGCAGTTTTCCCACAAATGCCAATTAAATTCTAGCCTTGTTCAAGATTTTTCTCTACAAAATCGTAGTCAGTTCTTCTTTTTCCAAGTTTAGAAGATGTGTATGTCAACAGGAAGCTGAAGGGARAGAAAACAAAAAAAGCCAGTTTTGGAGACTCAGTGAGTTTCATCAGTTGCCTTCTATATTTTCATAACTTTAGTCAAGACACCAAATAAAAACTAGGCTGGTAGAAGCAAAACGATCCCAGACGCAAAAATCAGAAGCATTGTTTCTGTGACATTTTCCACATCTTAGATCTTAAAAAGGTATCCTCATTTAAGCTGTATTCTAGCTGAACTTTTTTTCATGCAGTAAATCGGTATTTTTTTGACTTTTCAGACTATATGTGCTTTGATTTGTGCTCGACCAATTATAAAACCAGAGTTTTTTTCTGAATTAATCAGAGCTATTCAATCCAGGCAGCAATTGCCAAATCATGAAAGGTAAGTTGCCAGATCATGTTCACTGTGTTGCAGAATGAAATTTATTGGAGTTAGATTATCAAATAACTATACTGTCTGATAATTTTTGACATAATATGTGCTTCACTGTAATTTTATTTGTGGAATAACACTTAATAAGATGAATATTTTAATGTTCCCGCAATTTTCATATTCTCATCCTAGAGTTATAAAATGAGCTCTTGGAATTGGCTGTATGCTTAGAGATGTTACTGTCTCTAAAAAGGAACTTAGTTTGCTGGTATTTAAATGTTGCTTCAGACACTTCTGGGAATTGATATGTAAAAACGAAATTATACTTTTATAAAAGAAATTGCATCAAGTTTATTTTGTTATGTAGGCATATTTTCCCAATGTGCAGTTAGTTACTGAGTTTACTGTAAACTTTGGTCAGAACAGAGTTAGCCTGACCATTGAATTTCCTGTAATAGCAGAGGTTTTTAGTTATCTGTTAAGAGATGAAGTGAGACTAACGTGCATTGGCCTTCAGTAAATGAGAATAAAATATTCATTGTTCTCATGGTTGAATTAACTTCAGAAGGGAATTCTTAATTTGGAATAAGTGCAGAACACTGCAGAAGAGCTTCTCTGGTTATTTTCTCAATGTGAGAAAGTGTGAAATAATCCAAATATTGTATGTGACAATTTCATCTGAGCCCGTATTACTGTTCATTTTACCTTGAACAGGAAGATAGTTGTGTTTTGTCTGGGGATTGTGATTCTTGGTTTTTTATTGTATGAATTGTATTGTATGTATTGTATGTACATGATTTAAGTAGGTGAGAAATTTCCTTTATGTATATACATTCATATAAATATGCATGTATGTTAGGAAATGTTTAGTTTTCCTAAATCCTTAGAAAACAATGCAGAAGTTTAAGTAGAAGGGAAAATTACAATTCATTCAGATTCTCCCTTTCTTCTGAAACTGAAGAACAAATGAGCTTTAAGCCACTCACACATGAGTAATTTGACATATTACATAACCCCTGCCAATGTAAAGCAGCATCTAGAAACTAAGAAGTATTTCCTACCAATTGCTCCAGATTGGCATCTGTATTGTTCTACCAAGGTACTGTCATGTTCTGTGAAGTATGTTTTACTACATTCAATTATAGCTCATTGCGAATGCTTCTCCAGTTTTGTTTCTGTTTCCATAGGTGTGCACCAGAAGTTTGCTTAGCATCTGCCCAGCCTTAGTCTTCAAACTATTCTACCAGTGGCTGGCACCATCCCCACATCTGTACCCAAAAAGCTGTTTATGTATATAGTTTGCTGATCACAGAACTACTKCTCTTTATTCTGACTGCTATTTATACATCCTTCTCATGCTACTATGCAGGAAACAAAAGATGCTGAAATACACCAACAGAATTCAGTTTTAACAGAAAGATTGGCAGATTCTAAGCAAGAAACACATTCCATGAAATTCTGAAATATTGAAGTTTCTGAAAAAATTGAGCATCTGTAAACACAAAAACRTTCCTCAAACACTGTGAGCATTCAYAARTTTCAAGCTGAACACAAGAATTAGTACATAAACTTTATACCATCTCCTTTCTGACATGTGCCTCGCCTTGCTCTGTCTGAACTTCTATAGTAGTGAATATMGAGGCTCAAGATCCTGTAAATATCCTGAAATTATCAGTTAGATAATTAGTTAGATGTRTGCCCTAATTTTAGACGCTTTTCATGCTGTGAGCATGCCATCATTAACTGGAACTGACATCACAGGCTGTGACAAAATTTAGAGCTTCAAGGTAGAGTTTTATTTTTGCCTCATATGTATCGCAGTGAAACTCCCGTTCACTTTGCCTGTATTGGACAAAACAACAGAGAATCTGCAGGGTGAATCTCTTCAGTTCTCTATCTCACTAGCAAGAAAAGTGTACTTGTCTGCTGTCACAGGCTGTTCTGGAGTGTGGTGGTACACAATTTCTTGACACAGTATAAGAGAATGAGGGGTGGCTGTCCCACGTGGAAGGTAGAGGAAGCAAGATGACTTACTTTGTGTGGAGTTTTACTATTTAGAGTAAGTGCAGAATGGTCTTGCAATCTTATTTGTCAGTTTTGTTAGTAAGAATGTGGATGGGTTGGTAAGAATGTGGATGTAAGAATGTGGTTAAATGCATTCCGAAAAGTGTTGTTTTYGTAGTTACTGAAGTAGAAAGTCTTGGTCTTATCTTTGATGTTGAGAAATTCGGGGCTCTGTTTCTTCTTGACAATCTCTTGAAAATTATTTTTGTAAGTAGTTTTAACAGAAATGCAGTATTTTAACTTCAGAACTTTAGTCTAAGACAGAAAGGATTATAAGTCAGTACCGATAAGTGAATCTGAATCTTTCATTTTCTGTTCTTGCAGCTTTTATCCTCCAGTTGATGAGCCTTCCATTGGCACTGAAAAACTGGATTTATCTGAGCATCATGAAAGGGAAAAAATATTCAGTGGAAAAACTTTTGTATTTCTAACTGCCAAGCAGGTAATCAGGCCTTGCATTGCAAAAATATTGCAGGGGTAACTAAGCACAAATTAGTTCTCTCTGAAATCRCACTCATTTGGGTTCATCAGGGAAGAAAGATTTCTGTGGATTTATCCTACAGTACAGTGGCCTAAGCAAGATAAAATATAGAGAAGAAACAGAACACAATATATCTGCAGTAGTGCATCAGTGAKAAGCACTACAGTGATAGTTCTGTGTTCTGATACCTCTAAACTGACTAAGATTTTTGTTTTTATTTGCATTCTCTTTTTAGCACAAGAAGCTGAGTCCAGCAGTCGTTCTTGGAGGAGGGGAGGTAAAGTTGATGACAGAAGGAAGAAAAGAAATGCCTTTACTACTTTCTCCTGAAGTTTGTGTAGTTGATGCAGATTTGACAAACTCTCAGCTCTCAGGATCTGACTCAATGAGAAACTGGACTGATTCCATTCTGACTGTCTTGGAAAGGTGCAGTGTTGTTCTCTTGTACAGCAGTAGGGTAATTTCAAAACTTCTGCAGAGACTTGGTCRTGGTGTTTGCATACATATTTAAGGTTGCTTATAAAGAGGTTGTTTTTCTTTGTTCTGAGTATTTAACAGAGTAACTAAAACTTCTAAAGCAGGAATGAAAGAACATGGCAGTTCCATGAGGATTTGGTGGAGTATCTGTTTTCCTTTTATTATTTTTTTGTAGAACTCAGTTCCACAAAAATTCATTGTTATGAAGCTGCTTTAGTATTACAGACAGCAAGTTGTTTTTCTTCTACTATTTAAAAGAAATTAAAATTAATATAAAGAGTGCAAAATAGATAATTTATGATATTTTATTAAATATATGTATTCCATCAAAAAGAGATGACATGGCACCTTGAGGTCATGTAGTTCATTGTTGTGTAATTATTTGTATACAGTGTTTTAGAGGAACGGCTTCTATTTAATGAAAATTAGTTCTTGTTTTGATGGTAGGTTTTGTTTGAGAGGAAGACTGCATATATTATAGATGTTGGGATTATTATTAAGACATTTTATTAAAGCAAWTAAAATCTTAATCCTTAACACATAAATCTAGTTCCCCTAAATTTTCCTGCTAGGTAGAGAAGACAGTACTCAATCTCTTCTCATGGCTGTTGTACAGAAGAAAGGAGATGTGTGTCCCTGATTTGTAAGATGTGGTCAGATCTTTCAAGTCTCTTCACACATTTTTGCATCAGAGGTAGAGCATAATTAATTAAATGCCCCAAAATCAGGAAAGGAGAGGTGTATTGGCCAATTTACTGGAGGTAGGCAGTGGCTACAGCATCAGGAAAAATAGGAATTCATGTGTATAGGACATGGCTATAATGAAGGATAATTGTACTGACTTCTGTATTGGGAGAAACTGTAGTGTGGGCTTCTGGTTTTTTGGAAGAGGAATGGAACATTTTGTATGTTGCCATGCCTGTGCCCATTTGTCTTTGAATCTGTACTGAAAAACTTCTTATTTTAAATTTGTATATTAACAGCAAGAATCTTAGGGCTATTCCAGAGGCAGAAATTGGATTGGCAGTTATCTTCATGTCTACGGAAAAATACTGCAACCCTCAAAAGCAGCCTGCTTCCAGAGGTAATTGGAAGAAGGGTGGTAGTAACTTAAGMAGCCTCAAAGAGGCAGTATTTCTTTTTATGTAGAGACATCTATTACTGGTGTTCAAGTTGGTTTGTTTTGCAAGACCCCTAAAAAGGAGTGACACCCTATGAAAAATGTATGTGACTTCAAGGAGGTAATTGGTTTTTAATGGTCTCACAGTAAAGGGGAATGAAAATTATATGACTCTTAGATGTAAATAAAAAAGTAGATCTAAAAGTAGCCTAAAATGCAGACATAGAACAGTGACCTTGAAAGGAAAGATACTTTTAAAATATCTTCTGAAGTTTGTATTTTTAGTGATCACTGAATTCATATGTGTGTGGTAGTTTGAATTCCATGCTACTCTTGTCTTTTCATAAAAGACTGGGCTCATAGGAAAGTAAAAGATAGATGTCAGAAACCATGAGAATAAGAATGGAATTAATTTAAGGCTTGTTTTTTTTTCCTTTGCACAAAGTGGAATTTGCTTTAGGAAAATACAATCACCTTTCACACTGTTCAAAACTAAAACTAATCTTTCTGTTAGAAGTTAAAGTAATGAGACGTGATTGCCACATTTGCTGAAGTAGTAGTTTGGGGGTGGATGTTCAGAGTCTTGACTTGAAGCTTGTATTTGCTAATGCATTAGTAATGCAAGTCTTTGAGAGACTAAAAGAATTAGACAAACAAATCATTTTGTTTTCATGCCTATTCAYGTTATTCTATATTTTGTTGCTATAMAATYTTCAGAATTRTATTTTGTAGTTTCTGTTTCATTCTACAAAATGTATCAGGTAGAAAATCCTACCATTATTTAAAAAATCAAAGAGAAATTTATGGGCTTTGTCTTTACATGTAGGAACATTACTTACAAAAATKTTTGAATAGAGAAAGGCATACATGCAGTACTGGCAGAGCTCTGAAAAATATTTTAGTTGACTGATATTCTTGTATGAATAACTTGTGTGTCATCTATTTTCTGTCCTGTTAGTTTAGAAAATACCACAATATTAATTCTCAGATTAAGTTTTAAGATTCTGGCCTTGCAGACTGAATGACTCAGAAATGCTGATTCTTGTTTCCAGTCTGAATGATTTCAATGGATAAAAGTTAACTTGTCTGAAATTKTGTAGACAGACCATATATCAGACTTTCAAAGGAAGCTGTGCTTACAATTGAAAAAGTTGCATCCCAGATACAATAATCACATTAGAGATCATCATAAAGAAGTAAATATAAGGAATTTTGTGGTCTGACAGTTTGCATAAACTATACATTGTGTGATATGTGTTTTATTTTTTGCATAAAATATATACCACATGATATATTAAGTACATTATGTATATACTGATACGTTATTTCCCATTGTGCTTAATTTTTATTTAATTGGAGTTCCATTTCCTTATCAGTGGAATATTTAACTAAATCTGAATTTCAGAATATATTCCTTAATAACGACTTACTTCAGTTTTTTAAAAATTAATAAATCTGCTTTTTTAAAAATTAAAATTGTTTTAAGATCATTTTACAAAGATCTCACCTGATCTGGTGTTATGTGACACCATGTGCCAGGAAATACAGATTTGATGTGAACCTTCTAATTCTTCTCTCATGCTGATTTTGCAGCTGTATCTGAAAGTTCTCCTGCATCAGCTGTTGGAGGCCGAGCCATTTCCCGGAGTCTGGCTGTGGATGAAACCATAATGCCAACTGCTGCAGATAGCAGCACGTTGTATATAGCTGATACAGAAAGGCACACATGGTAAAGTATTCATGGACATTTCTAAGCTAATACTTGCAAATAAAGCAATCTTTTGTGGCAGAGGAACTGTATCATTGCCATAGGCAAAGATATACAGTGTTAGAAATRGCATTTGCTAAATTGCTGTCACTTGTCTGTAGTGAGATAATTCCTGCTTTTGAGTGATAGATTACAGAAACCATCCTATAGGGCTTAGATTACTCTTTCAGATGCAAGTGTAGACACTGCATATCTGTCTTGATGTCTGAACAATTACAAATTTTCAAGCCATTTCTCAAATATAAAAACATATTGATCATAGCATATCCTATGGTTTGTTTTTAGCACATTGTTTATTCAACGTACAGGTACAGCTTTTTAAAATGTGGTATTCTTGGTGTATCTCAGGTAACTTCCTGTGTGTCATCTAATGCTTTTTTTCTCTTTAATCTAGTATGGAGATAGAGCATACTTCCCAGATGCACAGACAAGGGAAAATGGCTTCCCTGGATACAACTGCTGTAAAGAAAAGCACAAGCACACGTGACAGTGTAAATGCAGGGACATCAGTACCTGGAGAGAACAGAACATCYGCCTTAGGTCAAAGAAGTCAGCCTGTGTCACCATCTAAACTTTCAGAAGCTGGCAAACCTCGTGAGAATGCTTCATGTCACCAGTCGAACTCAATTACAAATTACTTTCATGTAGCTAGAAAGAGGTATGTTGAAATGTTCTTGATATTACTTCCCTTATTGGTATGTTGGTACTGTTTCTGAAAAATTTTAACTCAACAATGTACTTTTAATTAAACCTGCTTAAATTTTTAGATCAAATTCCTAGAATGGAAAGCTTTTTCTCAAGGGTACTTTAAATTTCGCAATGCAGTTCCTAAAACCCCAGAAACTGTTAAATTATGGGTACAGCTAATCATACTCAAAAATTCTCTTATAATTTCTTTCTTTTGTAATTTGTTTGTGGCTAAGGGAAAGAGCTGAAGAAGAAGAAACATCTGTACCCAAACTAGCAAAATTGGAGGAAAGGTCGCCTTTTACCAAGTGTGCTGAATCCACAGCTTCATCAGTCTGCAACAGTGAAGCAAAACAGCATCAAAAGAAAAATAACCCAAATTTTGCAGTAGAAGACATGGATATAAAGCTTATAAGGGAAGGTGTCAAGCTAACAAGTGATAGAACAGATGCTAAAACCACTTCTAGTGAAAATCATGCACCGAAAAAGAGAAAGGAATTAGATGATTTATCTGAAGATACAGAAGCACTAGAAATTGTGTTTGGAAGCGGAGACATAGACTGGGAAGATCAAATAGCAGATCATGACCAGAAAGCTCAAGGAAGCACACGAAAAGCTCAATGTTTGGAAGCCAAAAGAAGAAGGATTCATGAAGTAAATGTAAATCAGAGAGAGGAGAATAAAGTATTGGTAAGTTTTACATTCTTTTCACTTGCCTAAACCTGAAATTTGCAATTCTGTTACAAGGATGCAGTTAGCTCCTTTTAGGAGGAGGCTGCCTGCGTGCAGAAAGTGGCTTTGTAAAATTCGTTTGCTTAAATCTCGTACATCAATTTTTAGTTCAAAATGATTCATCTGTTACATGGGAACATTGCCCTTTTACACCTACCTAAATGGTTTTTTATTCTTCTGGGCATTTTTTTCTTTGGGAATTGAAAACTGCTTGTGTTGTGGAAGTTTCTTCTTTTTTTACTTTATATACTGGAAGTAAAACAGCATCCCTGGTCCTCTTCTGCTGAATACCACAGTGGTGTCCAACATCTTTTAAGTTAGAATCTTTTGATACCATGTGAAAGATTATTAAAATTCCTCTATGAGAAATTTTAAAACAAAACTAACAAAAACAACAGCAAAGCCAAAACACAGCTTGTGTTTTTGTGATTATTTTTCTCTTTTTATTTTTGACACTAAGGAAATTTTCTAAGACATATGAAGAAAATGGTACACCTTGAGTTAACAGTGGTCACTTTGCTGAAACAAAAGAAAAGCAGATTTGTCAAGGAAAACAATGTTGAGAGGTCTAGACTATTAACAATACAATAGGAATAAGAGAACAAGTTAATTTTTTGTTTCTTTAAAATACATATATTAAAGCTTACTATCCAGTCCATGTACAGTCTAGGCAGTGTTTAAGTGTTTGAAAGTTTGAATGCATGATTAACTGGAATTTGCAAGATTCCGTGGACCACATAAGCATGCCCAGATAATTACTAATTCTTAGGTCAGACCAGCTTGATGCTTTGTTGATACTTTAGTGGAGCTTGCTTCTGGCAAAGTGTGAWCTTTAATTTCATTATGATGCTCTTTTTTTATGTGTGTTACTAGCAGGCAAACTGTAAAAGCCAAGTCGTATAATTTAGAGAATTTTGTTTYTTGCTTTTTATACTATCAAGGAGTGGGTACTTTATTTGGTCTGACCATACTGAGTGAGAGACTAAATTGGTGCTTGGAATTGTCTATTTAATTTTTTTGTGGCTTGGAAAGTTTTTCTAGTCTAACTTCATGTCAGGATTCTGAAGGAGAAAAAAAAACCTTACTGCAACAAAACTGGTACTTTAGCAGATACACATTGAAATATTTTTGCTCAAAAGAAGTCTTCTAATAGTTTAATAATGACCTACTTTATTGATGTAAAATATATTTCCAGTGGACTAGGAAGGAGATTTCATGATGAAGCTCCACAGGCAAATTTGATAACTATTTTCTGTAAGTACACCTTGTGTATCTGGCAAGATGAAGAATGTGAGTAATTGACTCAAAACCTACAGGATGCATAAAGCTGATTTGGTGTTTTATCAACCATTGAAAATAATTTATGTAATACAAATCTTGTTTTATACAATAGGATATAATCAACCTGCAGAATACTTTCTTGTCCTAGTAATGAAATGTCCTTTCTGCACACATGTACACTTCAAATATCAAATTGAAAATGCATCTTTTTGTGTTCAAAAGCTTTTTACAGAACCTGTCAGTACTTTGAAGATTGTACAGATGGACAAAACTTCCTAGTGTATAAGAAAGAAAGAAAAAACTAGCGAGCAAATAATAATGATTTTTTTTAATAAAAAAAACCTCCAACAATTGTTACAGTGTGCATAAAACCATAAAAAAATTTAAAGTATAGGCAGTTACTCTTCTAAATATTTATATTGATTTGAATATGTTTATTCTACCATAAAGAGCAGAAAACAATTTAATGTAATTGAGTTTCCATTTCATTTTAGTTTTATGTTTAAAATAATTTTTAATCCAACAGGAGGAAGAGGAACTTGGATCAGTCCTACCTTCAGAAATTAAAAGTAACATCAAGCAAGAGTTGCCAGTCTTGGTAAGGAGCCAGCTAATTGTTAAGTTTGAACAGCAGACTTTAAGAAGCATTACTAAAACACATCAAAACTTTGCTTTTAGGAACATAGTATTTTTGGATCCTATTTCAGGGTAAAGGAGGTTTGGAAGATAGTACTCCTTAATTTACATAATCATATGTAAATTTCAGTAGTGCAGTCCATCACATAGACTGTGAAGAAAATGGCACCTGTAGTTCATCTGTGTGCTTCTGTAATGGTATTTGGGTGGATACTTAAGGTGACTGAAACTACAAATAATTATGTTAAGCCTTCACTGTGGTTAATACTTGTACTGATGTTTTTCTTAGATTACTACTTAGAGATCTGCCAAGGATGTAATCTTGTCTGCTCTAAGGTGATCAGAACTATAATGGAAGAGATGGACCATTGGGAAAATAAATATAATATACAGTGACTGCCAGTAGATAGAWAACTTGTAGGTGAGCTGAAGGAAGAAAGGAGGGGAGAATTCCTTGGAGTGGCAGTGAGGCAGAGGAAAAGGAGACTAGGCTGAGTGAAACTGAAATTAAAAAATTCTGAAGCTATAGTGTGTAGCCAGTCAACAAAGGGCAGAATAGTCTTTTCACCTACAGGCAAAAAACAGCCCAAGAAGAGGGAATCCTGAGCAGGTGTACTAAAGTGCAGGGTCAACTCAGACTTAAAGGACTTTAGTCCTTTGCTATGTATGTTTGCTCTATGTATTTAGTTACACTTTGCTATGAAGCAACTGTACTGCATCTGGGCTGGGGCTGTCCTTGAATGTAGTTTAATGTTAATTCTTGTCCTGCACCCAGACTTCCTTTTGAATCCACACAGATGTAGCCCCAGGCAAGTGTGCATGCAAACTTGCTGGCATGTAAGCATTCTCATATACAAGAAAAATTTGTTTCATTGGTCAAAATCAGCCTACAGCCCTTGAGTTGGCTGAAAATCTGTAGGCTAGAATTGAGCTGAAGCTGTTTAACTTTGTCTTCCTTTGAGTATTTAAATACATACTTAAATACAGGAGAAACAAGTTTACTYTATTCCTGGTATGTAAGGAGGTTGAGAAGTTCATACATCTTCTTAGCCCCTAGCACTGCTGCTGCTTCCCCTCACTGTTTTGTAATCCTAATTTTGCTCAGCTCATGATAATTTCTCTACAGTTTATACTGTTAGATATGCTGTATGTCTGTTCACACACGTGAATGCTGCTGCTTTTTTTTTTCCCACATAAGAACCACAGCGACCTGCAAGATGACTCCAGCAATCTTCCTAGCAAGCTTCTGTTGACAGAGTTTAGRTCGCTGGTTGTCAGCCATCCCAGACAGAATAGTCGTGTTACTGGAAATACCAGCTATGGGGGAAAGAAAAACTTCAAAATGTTCAAAAAGGTTAGTGTATATTTTAAATGGTCACAAGATGGCACTATTTAAAAATATTAAAAAGCGTTGCCTTCAGWTTGTAGAAACACATAACTAAAGATTTTTAATAAATTGATAATGACTAAAGAAAGAAACAATTTAAATACCATATTATACTGTGAACAGATATTTCTTTAATTGACTGAAGAAKTACCAGGCTGAYAAAGGCTTRCCTCGTGCTAGATTATTTAGATACTTCTACTGTCTTTTCTAACCTGTTACTTGGAATAAGTAGTTAAAGGATGGTCACCATAGGTTCTGGTTGTATCTCCAAAAGCTAGCAATTCCACTTCTCCAAAGACATATATATGCAACATAGACTGATTCAGAATCTTCCATTTTAAYTAACAAATCTTGGATTTCTGTRTAGAACTAAMTCTATATTATACAAAAGTAAGGTGMTKGCTTGCTTGGGTCCTGAAGAWCATTTCAGAATGWTTCTTGTGTTCATTGTAAAAGTACCACTTCAGCTTRTATTAAAAATAACAATTAAAATCGTATGAGATGACTAGAAATGCATTTCAATAAAATACTGTGTTTGGAATGTGATCATGTAATACAACCTCCTGGGAGTATGCTCTCATTTTTAAATAATGTTTTAATTTTCTGATAATATTTTCCACCGTTTTSTAACAGATGCAGACAAYAAAATATAAACTGATTTTTWTMWMWATWTTTTTAACTCCATTTAATGCACTATAAAATTTATTTAGTATATTTAACTTATCAGATGTACTTTTGTTAATTTCTTTTGGTAAAAGGAAGGAGTGCAGATGCTTGTGCAGTCTGAYAATAAAATATAAAYTGATTTTTATCAATTTTTATTTTGAACTCMRTTTAMTGGACTATAAAATTTATTTAGCATRTTTAACTTAACAGATTTACTTTTGTTTGTTTCTTTTGGTAAAAGGAGGGAGTTAACAGCTTTCTGTAAATATCTTTTGAACATCAATCACTTTTAAATATGATTTTTGAATGTTATTCAAAGAAAGCCTGATTTTGTGATATCTGCATAGACTTTCTGAATTTGTTAAAATAGATCTTTTACTTGMACTGTGCTTGCTTGCAGTTTTAARTATTTATTGTCCAACAGGTTGCTTACCCAGGGGCAGGACAGCTACCACACATTATTGGAGGATCAGATTTGATTGCTCACCATGCTAAAAAGAATTCAGAGCTAGAAGAGTGGTTAAGGCAAGAAATGGAGGTAAGAAGTTATTTTTTGAAGATGATCAAATAAAAATTTGACTCGTCTAAGTGGTCATACCAACCTGTGATCATTACTAAAATACTTTAGGATTTTATTTCTTAAATAAAATCTCAGYCAGTTAGTTATCCACACATACTCGTGGGAATGTGTAGAGTAGCGAAGTTACTGAAAGTCAGAGGTCAGTGGTAACACTCATCTTTTTCTGATTATTTGAATTCATTTTGCATGTAACACTCATATAATCAGAAATATTTATATAAAGCAAAATCAATAACCTAAAAGGGAACAATCTTTTCTTTTGATAAGTAAAATAAGCACTTGTGACTTGTAAAAATGTCACAGTAAGCTAGAAAGAATTTCTATGTGGTTAACTGTGTTCAAATRGTTCTACAGTACAGTTGATATTCTACTCTTGAACAGAAAGAAATGAGTAAAATTCTSTTGGAGTATAATGAAGAGATGTAGTAAATCTAATATTTTTTCTATTGTGCAAATCTTCACCTTTTTTTATAAAAATCCTAAAAAATGTTTTATCATGGCAATTCTCCAGCACTTTCATTTTCCARCAGTTTCCTTAAAAATACTTGCTGATGAATCATATTATTTCCACAGCCTGATTGAGATCCAGTTGCATCAACACTTCTTATCTCATTTTTTTTCAAACCCTGAGTATAGATAATGCCAATTCRAATTCCTTTTATACATGAATAATCAGATACAATTTTCTGTATTTCTATAACGGTGCTTAAAAACCAGAAAAACATTCCTGACCAAAACTGACGTCTTTCACAAACTATTCCATTTCATTAGTTGGTAGCAGTAGCTAAATTTGAGTAGTGAAATAACTTATTTAATGTGAATATGCACTAAATGGATATTTTAAAAAACTTACTTCTTTGGGAAAAACTGTGTTATTGCTGTACTATCTTTTTTCTAGATTGYTCATTTGTATTATGCTTAACAATCAAATATTAAATAAACTTAATCTCTYAGGTGCAGAACGAACGTGCAAGAGAAGAATCACTTGCTGACGATCTCTTTAGGTAAGAGTTTTATGTTTGTATTTAGAAAAATGTGTATTTTTTGCATCACTCTTTTTTGGACAAATTTTTATTTTGAAAAGGCTACTTTGACTATTCTTTTCAAAATATCTTGTATTCCCGTGGATAGAATGTAGTCAAGCAATTGATTCAACAATTTCTCTGGAAAGCAAACACCATCCAGGCTTCATTTAACATGGAAAATGGGGGGAGGTGAGGTGGAGGAGATAACATGAAAAGATGTTCATGTCTGTCTGTGTCAGCATCTCTGTAGCCAGTCCCAGACAGGGTTGAAGCTGCTGTTGTTTAATATGAGTTTTCTGTCACGTATTATCCCCTACTCCTATCAGCTTATCTCTCCACTTCTCCCCTGCTCCCTCTTCCATAGAATTTGCTGACTAGGACATATTTAAGCGTTAGAACAAATGTGTTAAAGTGCTATAACACTAAAATCAAATAAATGTTTTGAGAGTTCATATAGGGACCCCATTTTGTATAGCAAAAGATTTGTTACATTCTATGTTTTTTTTTATGCTAATAAACAAGTGACCAGTATTTGACTTCTCACCTGTCATGGAATTTGACTAATATTAAAAATTATGCATTTAAGTAGAAAAATGTATATGGTGAAGACGGATGTTTTTTTTCCAAATCATTATCAAACAAACAGGATACTACATACCAATAAATTTAAGAGCCATTCAGATAATCTTATTGCATTAGCCATAATGCAATGTTAATTGCATCGCTTGCTCTGGTAATTTCTTTCAAAGTGTATGCATTTTATTTTTGGAGTCTTGAGTTGTGTAGTAATTACAGTGCTTAAGGCCTGAATTGTATAGCAACAGCAGTGACTTCTAGTACCTTTCTAGCTATGTGGTGATATAATTTGGCTCACAAGTTGTCWCATTTTTCTGTCTAAGCAAAAGGTCTTGGTGAATGAGAGCAGAATTATTGGAAGTAAAACTGCCTGATCATTCAGTGTGTCCATAAATTATTCATGCATGAATACAAAACACATCAGAATTTCCAAGAAGTGATAGGATTTTGGGAGATGAAGCACAGATGGAGAAGGCCGAGGGATAGCAGTGTCAAGTAGAGTCAAACTCTTAAGTGTATTTTAGTAAGTCAGGTAACTATTTAGTAGATCCAGAAAGTAGCTCTAAATTTCTAACAGTCAATAAGAAACTGTATAAATGGGAAGGTAGGGCAAGGATCTGCTTTATGTAGGAGKAGAAAACAGTATGTGGACAAATGAACATTGACGTACAGGATGTACAGGATCCCTTTCCCTCCCTCCTGTTTTGGTTTTTTTGGTGTCCTTTTCCAGTAAGGAACTTAGTGTTGGGACATTAAAGGCTTGAGAAGCTTGTTTGTGCATCAGATTTAAAGGTTGTAAGTAGTTAGGAAATCTGAAAATTTTATTAAAGSTTATATCTGGTTCATATGTAGGTTCTAACTTCAGTCAAATTGTAGTAACTGTAATTAATTGTAGGAGTGTAGTCAGGGAAAGGACTGAACACTGGCCATTCCCTTGTTACGAATATATAATAAAGCCATTTACATCATACTGTGTATCTAGATCTGTAAGAACTTTGAATATCATTATTTTAYTTATTTGTGACAAATTTTATTTTTTGTTGCAGATACGATCCTAATGTGAAAAGAAGAAGATAAATTGTGACCTGGATTTACACTGTTTCTCTAGCAAAACTTGCTTTCTGTTCCTTAGTTTTCTTGGTTACAGTGTCTATGATGTTCCTATATATGACCATTTGAAATATCTGTTGTTTTAAGACATGTTTTCTAGGTCTTGTTTTTATTAAAGAAAAAGAAAAGTTTCTTTCCCTGCTTGGTTCTTACAATTGCACATTTTCAAAACATTTCCATTATTCACTTCAGAGTAATGCTCAGTAAAACACTGTAGGTATTTAGGATTTCATTTTAGGCTATTTCTAATGTTTGGTTATCAGTACTATTTTGGGGGGGAAAAAAAGGAAGTTAGCATTTGGCTATTTTTTCTCTTTTTCAGAAAGGCTTTGTTAATTAGGTATTTTCAAGGGTATTATCTTAAGAATTGAAAGTCTGTTGAGAGAGGCTGAGATGCAACTAGTATTTGATCATGATATGATATGATACGGTTGATCTGATATGATTGATAATGAACCACTTCTCTGTTGTTCATTATGTAGAGATTATGCTATTGTTACTATTACGGAAGATCTTGGAATTGAAAACAACAGCTTCTTTTTCTCTTGCTTAAACACATTTTTATTTACACCTTTAAGTCAGTGTGGTTGAATATTCATTTGTTAAAACCTACTTCCTAGCCAAAGTCCTAAAAAGCTGTTGTACTCCTTTTTGGGTTTTTTAATGATTTGACCCATTTCTTTCTCTCGTGCCTTTTACTTTTTGCAGTCACTGTGTAAAGAATATGGCCTTCAAAATAGTTCAGTTAACAGGGAAAGCTATGAAACAACTGTGTATTTGTGGATTAGGAGAGTTCATCTTAATGATCTGAGAACTTGCAATTTGTGAGATTCCCCTGAAAGCACAGAGAGAAAAACTTCCCAGACTTTGTGCTCAGACATGTGAAGCCATCACACACAGATAAAAGATGGACAATAGCTCTATTGCATCCTATTTCAAGAGGGAGGATCTCCTTCCTCATATGAGGAAGTAGTTTGGTTGATGCAATTGAATGACAGAAACAAAATTACTTTGTCTGTCAAGAGCTCTGAGCATACAAGCAAGACGAGCTGACTTTGAAGCCGCTTCATTGGATCTGAAGATCTGTGTACATCAAGATAGCAGATGTGCTGAAGTCAGTGTGGCTGCAAAATACAGAAAATATTTGGTATTCCTCAGCCAGTGTTTGCTCAGGTTGCTCTTGGCATCTTCTTGCTGGTCAGCAATGTCCAGAACGATACACAGAATGCAACCRATTACCACAAGAGCTGTGAGAGGGTTTTGGTATCACAACTTGCATCTGGGTACATCAAAACTTCTCCAATACCTTTTAAAATACTGTTCCTAAGTTAAAATTCTTACTGGAGGGGATGTAGTGACTCTTGCACCCTCAGTTGAGTTTTTCTACAATTAGTGTGAGAATTTCCTGGTTTTCTGGCTRAAGACCTACTGGTCCAACAGAGCTCTTGTGGTCTGCTGAGGTTTTTGATTGTTTTTACTAAATTCAAGCAAATAGCTTAAATAGCAGAGTATCAATGGACAAGATTGTTCAGAAATGTTTACAGTTGTAAAAATTTGAGGTGAAACAACAAAATGTGAAATGTATAGGGACCTACAAATAAGTAAAGGCTAACTCCTTTGCTGCTCAGTCTGCAATCTGCTAAGGCCTCAAGCAACCCTGATGGTATAGCTGAGAGCACTTCTGTTCACATTTTATGATTTAGGGCTCAGGATTTGTCCTGTTTCCCAGACAGCTGAATTTATCAGCTCTGATACTTGTAAAAAATTTATTTAGTGTTTAAGAATTGTGGGTCCCTTTCAGCTGAGAAAATTCTGATTCCAATGTTATAGAGTGCCTAGTAGGTGATATAATTTGGTTTGTAATCCGGTTTCAGCTGCTCTCCAGTTGACGAAAAACCTGCACATTAATGCACCTGAGCTTTTGCAATTTAAATAGGAAGTTATACTTTCATTAAAAAGCTTGGACATACAAACCCCTTAGCCATGGCTTGAAWTGCAACTCCAAGTAACAAGTCCTATTCATACTTCTGAAGTTTTCCTTCCATTTATTTTTGTCAGGATTTTCAGATCAAGACATTAGAGGAAACATGCTTGTTGGCTTACTGGTTTGGCCTTCTATTACTGAAATTTGAGGTAGATGATAAAGGATATGATTACATGATCCAAGTCTTGGGTGCCTGAACATCCAATAAATTATGTCAGTATGTGCCTTTTCGCTGGAGCTCCTGCATTAACTTCACATTTCCTCYGTTATATAACACTGTTGTAGGCTAACCCCAGTARGCAGCTAAGCCCYCTGCACCCATTCACATTCTYCTCCAGCAGGATGGGAGAATCAGAGAATCAGAACAGAGGGAAAGCTCMTGTGTTGAGRCATTTTTATAGGTAATGCAAAAGCTGTGAGGACAAGGAAGGGCAATCAACTTTGCACTCTGCAGTTCAGAAATTTTGCTGCGTGCTCCATTTTCAGTAAGGAGCTTGTGCTCTGTGGTTTCAACAGTCAGTTCAGTTGCTGGGAGAACTTGTGTGGTGCTGATTTTCTTCAGAAGGTTAAAAAAAGTTCATTAAATCAGAGATCRTATCTAAGGTTTCTTTCATCTGCCACAACCATGATCTGCAAGTATACCTACCTTTTTGACGCCATTATGCTCTTMATCTTAAAAATACTTCTAAGCAGAAACTTATCTTTAGATCTTGTTTCTTGCATTTTTGTGTAATGCAGTTTGAGGGTTTGGGATGCTTTTTTTTTTGTAACATCTGTACACACTGCTTACAGGAAGGAGATGCACACAATATATAAACTAAATATACTTTTTTATTAGCAAGGCTCTTAATATACAGTCTTGCATTCAGCAGTTTAGCTGATGAAMACAGTTTAAAGCAGATTGAATGCCTCTATATACTACTAAACTGTGAAGAGGTCCTATATCCCTGCAGGAATAACATGCTTAATTTTCAGTTGAACTCACACCAGTTTCAGCTTCCCATTTTCCACATCAGCTGGGGAAACCACAGGTTTTGTTTTTTTTTTTTTTTTTTTTTTGGAAAACTACCAAGATATTCTCACTGTTGAAGTGTGATGTCTATTTCTGTCCATTCACATATGTGAGTCTGTCCTTCTTTCTCCTACCCTTACTCCCCATCTTCTCCCAAAACGGTGGGGATTGTGTGTCAGGGCTGGCCTCTCCTGGGTCACTGCACCAGTTTCTATATGCAAAGCGTTTGCAGTTMCAATTCCTCCATCCAGTCACCTCCCCATCAACATGCTCTAAAATGCCAAGTCCTCTTCATTGCCTTTATTCCTGATGTGTGATAAGCTCTATTCCACATAYTAATTTCTGAGACAGTACCTGAAACTTCTACTGTAGACCTACCTCTAACCTCCTCCCCCTTCTTGCTCCAGTCCATGTTATACAAATCATTTCTCAGTCCATATTTTTTCCTGTTTGCACCTTCTTCTCTTGCTCTTTTCTTGAATCAATCCTCAGTCACATTTGGCCACATCTGGTTTGAGTCACARATTCACACTGATTTTTGTTTGATTTCCAAATTCTAATTGTATTCTGGTTGTTTTGGTATCTCAGAATTCAAGCCAAATGTGGCAAAAATGAACCCTCTTCATTACCATTATTCCTTCCTCTTCGTCTTGCAATCTTTGCTCTCCATCACTACATGCCAGTACGGTTACAAAAATGCTACACAATACCAGATATCCCTGACTAGCAACTCTCCCTGCMACTTGCTTTAGCGCTCTGCCTGTACTGCTCTGCCATGGCAGCTTTTACTGCTGGAATCTGTCAGTCACTGGCGTCAGCACCAGATCCACCATTCAGTTCTGAACACTGCAGCTCTCTGAATGGCTTTTCCTCCACAGTTTTATCTTTCATTTGACTTGAGTTCTGTACTTCTCAAAATCAAAATAACTGACTTCTACATGACACTATTTTAATTTTTCACCTTCAGTCTATAATTAGTTTTCACACATTAAGATACAAGCCTGGCATGCAAACCTCAGGAGTGTTTATCACCTAATCAAAGCCAAGGTTTTACTCACAAGTTGCTTACAGGAAAATGTTCTGTACATGTTTACATTGCTCATCTTAGAAAAAAAAGTATGACCCAAGCTTACTCTAGTAAAAGATTAAAACAGGCACTGCCACACACAAAGAAATTACATTTGCAAAGAAGTATCTCCACATCCAGGTGCATTGTGTGTGAACAAACACGTAGGGAGATGAATATAGTTCTTTATCTCATTTCAAACTGGAATTCCAGCATGGAACCAGCATACCAGGTCTAACAGAGAGAGTAATGGGCAAGGTCAGAGTATTGACTCAGTAAATTGTGCCAGGGAGATCCTTGAACAATAGCTCTCTGTTCATACAGAAGCTGCTCCTAGGAAACTGATGATAAAAAGTATTTATACATCTAGTTAAAAAAACAACTTAAAAAATGCCAGGATTCTGTAGTATTTTGTGATACATAGCAAACCTAGTTGTTAATTTTCTTTATGCTGGCATGTAAGTCTACAGAGRGTGCCTAGGGACATGAAGCTGAATTTTAGTTTATTAAAGCATCCACTGTAGGCTGGTACTTACATTGCCAGTGATCTCAGAGTAAAGAGACGGAGGAGGAAAGTGGAAATTAGAGTGAGTTAGTCTCCAGAACAAGTTGTTTCCTGGTTTTGATGACTACTGATTACCACTAGGTTTTAAGAGTTGGTTTATTRTGCCCTGAAAGTACAAAATTATTAGTTAGAAAATGAGCTAACRTGCAGACAGGTATAATGTGAACTCAAGTTCAAGGTTCGCTTGAGCTGAAATGTTCTAGTGTCTACAAAGACAAAACCATTCYTAAAACAGTGTTTAGCTTCACTACAGCTATTAAATAATACTAGAAATGCTTTTTTTTCCCTGCCTATCCTTGTTCCTTACATCAAATTCATCCTGCATCACACAATTCTCTGTGTAATTCAAGCTTCAAAAATTAACTAAACTGAAACTCTCAGTGTCCTGTATTCCCAAAAAATCCGCTGTTTCAACAAAAGAGCTATCTATCATTCAGCATCCTCACTTCAGTTTGTAACCCTAATGTTACCAAAGCCTTTCTTTTTCTGTCAAAGATGCTTCAAT